GCCCCCGCCACCACCACCACCACCACCATCGCCGTCGCCACCGCCACCGCCACCATCATCGCCACCACAACTACGGTCATTGTTACCCACCACAATCATCACCGTCTCTTACCACCTACCACCTCCACTACAAATCGACGCTTAAATTTTTTTTATCTCTTCTCTATGTTTGTAATTTGATTTTAAATATGAATACAAATATGTTTATTGTTTACCATTTTTTATTACTCTGTGCTTTCAGGCACAGGTAATAACTATTTCTCCAATATTAAACCCATACCCATACCAAATGAAAAAAAAGCTCTTTTTAAATCCAAATCAAGGAAGCTCATTTTTTAAACTCAAATTTTTAATGGTGAAATTACACTCTCCTTTAAATATCTAATAATCATATTTACTTTATTTTAAATTTGACTTTATCTTCAATTAAATTTAAGTTTCTTCATTAGAAATATTTATGTCCAATTAAGTTTTTTATTTTGTTTACTCAAATTTAATTAAGAATTTGAGTCTCCATTAGAGATGATATAACATTAGAAATTTTTTTTGAGAGATTTTTACCATATTTAAAAAAAAGATAAAAAAAGGGAAGTACTTAGGATTAATTGCACTAGAGCTCGTAACGTAAAGTATGAGATTTGTTTTATTTTGATTCTTAATATTTTAATTGTATAATTTTGATTTTTAAAGTATTGAATATGTTTTNATATTTAAAAAAAAGATAAAAAAAGGGAAGTACTTAGGATTAATTGCACTAGAGCTCCGTAAAGTAAAGTATGAGATTTGTTTTATTTTGATTCTTAATATTTTAATTGTATAATTTTGATCTTTAAAGTATTGAATATGTTTCTATGTGATCCCTCAAACAAACAACATCTAAATTGCTAACGATTTTTGATTATAAATTTATCATGTGATATCTAAATATGAGCACAAAATAATTTAAATAGCTATTGACCAAAATTTGGGTGACTTTTGACAAAAAATGTATAATATGAATAATTCTTTATCAAAATTTAAATAACTCACAATCAAAACTAAATAATTTGAGTAATTTTTTAACCAAAATTTGAATTATTATTTTTTTATATTTAGATATTTCGTTACAAATTTATAATAAAAAATTACTAGCAATTTATACACGNGCTATTGACCAAAATTTGGGTGACTTTTGACAAAAAATGTATAATATGAATAATTCTCGATCAAAATTTAAATAACTCACAATCAAAACTAAATAATTTGAGTAATTTTTTAACCAAAATTTGAATTATTTTTTTTTTATATTTAGATATTTAGCTACAAATTTATAATAAAAAATTACTAGCAATTTATACACGATCTATTTAAGAGATCACATAAAAACATATTCCATACTTAAAAGGACAAAAAAAAAAAAAACTTCAAATATCAAAATAATAAAATTTAAAAATATTAGGCACAAACCAAAGTTTCGGAAAATTTTCTACAATCACATTCTTGACTTTGAGCTATGGCGTTTGTAGAATAACGAAGCTCTTGCCAATTGCCATTGTAACCGCCACGCTCAAAGCTCAAGCACTGTGAGATGGCTTACTACCTTCTTATTGACACTATGCGTGCTCCAGAGGTTTGTTTATCTGCAACTGTCCTCAGATCGAAATTCAGAAATTTGAGAGGTCGTAGGGACTTGAACTTGATGACAACTACATCAAAGAGGACTTTCCCACGTTGAGTATTTTTTGTCCCTTCTAATATATTCTTTCTCAATTTTCCGCATATCTCCGTTCTAGATCGTACCAGAAATATGATTGGGAAGGTTGCTCTGACTATTTGGAAACTTTTCTATGACTCAGAGTTGGAATAAATTTCGAATCTAGGCAATCCCTGGCCAGACCAAGTGGGAATACCTTAGTCCAGTTTGCCTTTGATCGGACAAGGAGATTAGTCGAGCTGCGCTACCCTCACCTTTGAACCCAAAAAAAAAAGAGTTGGAATGAATGTATGAAAGGCTGGGGAATGAGCTGAGGGTTCATGAAGGATTTTGTGAAGATTTTGGTTATGATTGGCCTCAATCTCCTTCAGGACTTTGTAAGATTAACTTCACTTGATCTTACCTTTTTCTTAAGCTTATAGAACTTCTATGTGCTCTTTATTCATTTATTTATTGCTGGGAATGAAGCTGTGAGTTTTTTTTATTATCCAAATATGGTGTTCCAAAACTTGATTAAAAAACTACAAGAATAAACAAGTAAATAAGAGAGTACAAATGAAAAAGAAAAAGAATAGAGTATCAATTTGACATTTACATGCAGTTATCAGTCCTATCTTCAGAATAAAATTGAATCCGAGACTTTGGAGTTGTATATACTGGCCGTGCATATTCGTCGCAGTTGGTATGTGTTTTTGATTGTGCTGTGTATGAGAATAAAGTCCCATATACACAAGGTTCCTAGAGGGGGAGTCCCGCCTATCTCAAGGGATGCAAATAGGTAATATGAAAACTAAAATTATCACACGAAAAATATTGTACCAGAATGTACTTTGAAATTCAATCAAAAGCTTGCCAGAAACCTTGAAGTAGGTGTTTTGAGAATACAGATAGATGTCTTGAATTAGTTGGACAAAATTTAGAACTTGTGGATAAGTGGAAAAAGATGGAAGTAAGACTTATTGAATTCTGAGACCCATACTGGAAAAAGTTAAAAATAAGAATCTTCACTAAAAGAAATAATGAATGCGTAATACTTCTAGTTTTTCTCTATGGCAACTGTTTTACAAAAGTGGCTACACTTCACCTCTATCCCACGTTTTGGATGTCATATCTAATATTATTGAACATTCNAGAAATAATGAATGCGTAATACTTCTAGTTTTTCTCTATGGCAACTGTTTTACAAAAGTGGCTACACTTCACTTCTATCCCACGTTTTGGATGTCATATCTAATATTATTGAACATTCAGTTCGGAAAACTCGTATAGCGCTCTTTCCAGTATGTGGAGACCATGTCTATAATCTACAATTCTCAGTGAAATGAGAGCTATGCATATCCATTGCCCATGTCATGGATTGCTGTGATTTACAAAACAAACTAATTCTTAAATTGGGATGTGTAAATGGTCCTTGATCAAGGATCAAAATTTTGTTTCAGTACACTGGTTTGATCACCTAGGAAATAGAAACGTTTCAAAAATATTTCAGAAATAGATTGAAAACAAATAAAAAATTGAGAATTTATTTCTNTCCTTGATCAAGGATCAAAATTTTGTTTCAGTACACTGGTTTGATCACCTAGGAAATTGAAACGTTTCAAAAATATTTCAGAAATAGATTGAAAACAAATAAAAAATTGAGAATTTATTTCCATCACATTTCAAAAAATTTGTCAAAATACACCAAACACCTTGAAACATTGGTAGAAATATGCCGAAATATCATGAAACACCTTGAAGTATTGTAATGTCAATTCCATCACTAATTCTTTTTGGCTTTTTGATCGTTTTAAGATGAAATTTTAATCCTTACCCTTAAAAACCTCTCATCTTCCATCGGATAATCCACTGAAAACTTGGCTTCTTCCAGCAAGTGATGCTTCCCACTCAATAGAGGACATTAAGATTTGGGACAAGGTTGTGACAATTTGTCGCATCTCTGGTCTATTAACAACATCTTCACTCAAACATTGTCTAGCTATTTCTGCCATCTACAAAGAGAAATTTGGGCAATGCAAATAAGTCATAACTACTTATGATATTTTAACTGACTTTATTAAACCTTTATGCCACTAAACTTAAAAACATGTTTTCAATGGAATAACATAAGAGCATAGCGATNTCTGGTCTATTAACAACATCTTCACTCAAACATTGTCTAGCTATTTCTGCCATCTACAAAGAGAAATTTGGGCAATGCAAATAAGTCATAACTACTTATGCCATTTTAACTGACTTTATTAAACCTTTATGCCACTAAACTTAAAAACATGTTTTCAATGGAATAACATAAGAGCATAGCGATCATAAAACTTTCCCTTTCTTCCAAGTAATACGTTTTTTTTATGGTTAGGCGATTGCTAAAGGATTTGAAGCACGGGGCACACTTCTTTGCAGTCCCATTTTTACCATAAGACTAGGACACCAGTTCATTTAGCAGTTAGGATAAATTACATTGATACCTCACAGGTTGCTAACAGTTACAAGGGGTACCTTTTGATTTTTGATATTATGTTGTACTCCTTTCTGGTTTTAATTCTTGTTTCACGAGTTACCATTGACCTAGGGAACTATTGATTTCGTTGCACTTTGTATTTAAAACAACCAAATTTTCAGTATCCAGCCAAAAAGCCCATTCTGTAAAATGAAGAAACAAAATACCCATTAGTCCATTAGCAAAACCACAGCCATTGTCATCACTCCCACCCCAGACCTAAGTCCGGGAACCAAAGCACCTCAATCAACACCATCATTGGATCCGGGAACCCATACCTTTAACCATCATTGCCATCAACCTTCGATCAAAACCTTCACCACCAAGCCCGAGAACCAAAGAACCTCCATAATTGTCATCGCTCCCATCACCACTAGCTCTACAACCCTGTGGTCTACAAACTACCACAAAACTTGAAATCCAAACCCCATTGTCACCATGCCCTAAATCAACCCCGCCACCTCTAAGCCCGAAACTGAAAACAACCACTTAGTCACCATCACCACCCCCCATAGCCCTCCAATTATCACTTCAACGCAATTGTTGACTACTTTAGAACTACTACTATTGGCTCAAGATCTAGAGCCCCTCCCCCCCCCCCCTCCCACCAACACTGCCACCATTTCAATTCACAATTTTCAAGAAAATTAAAATTATCACTTCAATCCATCCCAGTTCAATCACCAACTTCTAACAAAACCCAACATCCCTTATGACCTATTCAAAATACAATCAAAACATGGAGAGAGGAGAAAGAGGTCACGGATGTTGTTTCCACCACCAATCCACCGTTCCTCCACCTTGGAAGACGTAAGAATGCGAGAAAGAAATAGAGAACAAAACCAAAAAAGCCGAAGTCGATCGATTTCACAACCTTTTGATTAAACCCATGCAAAATCAAAACATATTAAGTCAAGTTACAATTCACTGAAGTGAAAGGTACTACTTAATGAGGTTAAAATATTTGAGATTCATCATAAAAAGCTGTGATCAATGTCAAATTTTTTGGATTGATCCTAAGTCGACCCCATGGACTCATAACTTGGCTTGTTCGAATTGCTGCTTGACTTAATTGGATCATAAATTTCAATATGATGACTTTTATATATGATAGATAAATCCATTTGTAGAATTCATTTAGTCATATCAATTTGACATTGATTGTACTTTTATTTTTTTAGAGATATTAAATGTCTTGATTGGATATATTATTGAATTGAACACCAAAAGCCTACTTAGGTTCATCCACTTCAACCCGGCGGGACCCAAAGAAGAGTTATTGATAGAGAAGGAGAGAGCAGAGGAAAGGAACCATACATTAGTAATGGACTGGTAAATTGCAGATTTGCAGTTTTACTGACCTTGTACACTTCCCCTGCAGGATAACTCCCTTTTAGGTTACTATCAATGTTGGCTTCTAGAGCAGTCATTGGATCCGTATTGCAAAATATTGCTTTCATCTGACCATATTTGAAGGAAAAAAAAATTCAAATTAGCTGGATCATCAATAAGATGTTTAAAACATAAAGACCGGCTNATGCTATCCGGCAAAGAACACAGTAGAGTTAGAGTGTTTGAAGTTGTACATTTCCCAATCAGGGAACGCCTGCTGTTGGTTTTGAAAATGTGTTTAGGATTTCTGACAGATGAACTGATGGCTTCTTTCTTGTCTTCATGTAGACAGTTAGACAGTTCATAGAAATTCATTATATTGTATCAGTTCCATATGTTATGTACCACTTTTTAACTATGCTAGAGAACATAGGCTTCGCTTAGTCTGAGGACGATTAAATCTGTTTAAGTAATCGCTAACCAACATTACTAGTACAATCATATCCCACAACTTTTCTAGAGAGTGTCAAGGTGAAGCTACTTTCCTACGTGTCTCGATTTGCATGACTCAAAGTTGAAGTCAAGCCTTTCATTTAAGTAATTAGCATTTATGTCTAATTTTCTTCTTCNCTATTTTTGGGCCAAGTTTTTGCTGAAAGACTTTTATCAATTGAATGAACTCATGCCGGGTCACTTGTAGTTTGGTTAACAATGTAGACAAATTAAGCTCTTGATTTTGATATAACTCCTACAAGCAGGGTAGGAGCACTTGATGGGGACAGACCTCTGGATATCATGTCAATCATCTATTAAGAGATCTCCCATTAGGTGGATTTTATCAATTAGACTTTACAAATTATCTCTATGGAACAAAGGCTATTACATTATAGGACGCTAGCTAGCAATCACAAAACTTGACAAACAGGACAGGAGTGAAAATTCTAATGGCTGTACAATCCATTTCCACCATATCTGGTCTCACTAAATCTCTTAAATGATAAGTTGTTTCGTTAGCTTTCTCTTCTCTTACATGTCTTCTTTTCTCTTCTATTTTTTTCATTTTCTCTTTTCTATTTTATTCTATACGGTGGACATGTGTTATCGGAATGTGTTATCTGTGTTGAGTTCCTCCAAGAGATTGCTTCCATAACTATTTACTGGTGTTCAAGGAATCGGCTGGCGGCCATGGAGAGCAAGCATTAAGGTCACACCAAAGTGAATGGATTCAAATCAAGTAATGGTGATAGGTTATTATGCAAGTAAATGTCTAACTAATCTTCTATTTGAGTCTTGTAATTTATACTTAAGTCTAGTAAATAACAAACTCCATTTTACTTATTATAAATGTTAGTGGAGGTTGGCAAGCTGCTTTTTTTCCATACTAGTCCATGGTGACATGGAGGATTGCTTCAGTTGCAGTAGCATTTAGATGCCATTTCCAATAATCCAGCACAATCAAGGTAGGAACCATCTTTGAGATCTTTAGCAGTATGCTATCCGGCAAAGAACACAGTAGAGTTAGAGTGTTTGAAGTTGTACATTTCCCAATCAGGGAACGCCTGCTGTTGGTTTTGAAAATGTGTTTAGGATTTCTGACAGATGAACTGATGGCTTCTTTCTTGTCTTCATGTAGACAGTTAGACAGTTCATAGAAATTCATTATATTGTATCAGTTCCATATGTTATGTACCACTTTTTAACTATGCTAGAGAACATAGGCTTCGCTTAGTCTGAGGACGATTAAATCTGTTAAGTTATCGCTAACCAACATTACTAGTACAATCATATTCCACAACTTTTCTAGAGAGTGTCAAGGTGAAGCTACTTTCCTACGTGTCTCGATTTGCATCACTCAAAGTTGAAGTCAAGCCTTTCATTTAAGTAATTAGCATTTATGTCTAATTTTCTTCTTTNTATAAACACACTGTGTGTACATGCAAACTTATTTCCTGACTTTTCTCTATCATACAATCTCTCTACCTGTTGCCCCTTAAGTAAGCTTGCCCCATGAGACAATTGATGCTTTTCATTCCTCTTTTGTCCCTACAGCTATCCTTGCTTTGACCTTCTTCTTTCAGCTTTAGGAGTTAGGACTATATATTTGTATGGATGTATGTATGTATTTTCTATTTTCAAGTTTATTTTTGCACATTGCGGCTTGTGGTTTGCCTACGATATGATGTGCTTCATGCATTACACACTATTTTTGGGCCAAGTTTTTGCTGAAAGACTTTTATCAATTGAATGAACTCATGCCAGGTCACTTGTAGTTTGGTTAACAATGTAGACAAATTAAGCTCTTGATTTTGATATAACTCCTACAAGCAGGGTAGGAACACTTGATGGGGACAGACCTCTGGATATCATGTCAATCATCTATTAAGAGATCTCCCATTAGGTGGATTTTATCAATTAGACTTTACAAATTATCTCTATGGAACAAAGGCTATTACATTATAGGACGCTAGCTAGCAATCACAAAACTTGACAAACAGGACAGGAGTGAAAATTCTAATGGCTGTACAATCCATTTCCACCATATCTGGTCTCACTAAATCTCTTAAATGATAAGTTGTTTCGTTAGCTTTCTCTTCTCTTACATGTCTTCTTTTCTCTTCTATTTTTTTCATTTTCTCTTTTCTATTTTATTCTATACGGTGGACATGTGTTATCGGAATGTGTTATCTGTGTTGAGTTCCTCCAAGAGATTGCTTCCATAACTATTTACTGGTGTTCAAGGAATCGGCTGGCGGCCATGGAGAGCAAGCATTAAGGTCACACCAAAGTGAATGGATTCAAATCAAGTAATGGTGATAGGTTATTATGCAAGTAAATGTCTAACTAATCTTCTATTTGAGTCTTGTAATTTATACTTAAGTCTAGTAAATAACAAACTCCATTTTACTTATTATAAATGTTAGTGGAGGTTGGCAAGCTGCTTTTTTTCCATACTAGTCCATGGTGACATGGAGGATTGCTTCAGTTGCAGTAGCATTTAGATGCCATTTCCAATAATCCAGCACAATCAAGGTAGGAACCATCTTTGAGATCTTTAGCAGTATGCTATCCGGCAAAGAACACAGTAGAGTTAGAGTGTTTGAAGTTGTACATTTCCCAATCAGGGAACGCCTGCTGTTGGTTTTGAAAATGTGTTTAGGATTTCTGACAGATGAACTGATGGCTTCTTTCTTGTCTTCATGTAGACAGTTAGACAGTTCATAGAAATTCATTATATTGTATCAGTTCCATATGTTATGTACCACTTTTTAACTATGCTAGAGAACATAGGCTTCGCTTAGTCTGAGGACGATTAAATCTGTTTAAGTAATCGCTAACCAACATTACTAGTACAATCATATCCCACAACTTTTCTAGAGAGTGTCAAGGTGAAGCTACTTTCCTACGTGTCTCGATTTGCATCACTCAAAGTTGAAGTCAAGCCTTTCATTTAAGTAATTAGCATTTATGTCTAATTTTCTTCTTTCCCTGTTCACAGGAAGTGTGAGGTGAGACCTTAAATAATTTATGTTCATCTGTCTTAATTTGGAACATTTATGAGAGGAGTATCTGTTACGCAATGAACCAGCTGAAAGTGTTCTAAATTATACTCTTATCACTTACAACTGAAATCAGGGATTTCATCCTGTTTGGTTCTCGGTTGTCACGAACGAGGGCGCGTTGACCAGTTATCAGCTCTGCTAAAACGACCCCAAATGCAAAAACATCGGCCTTAGAGGTTGTTTGAATTTCCTGTATGGACCTTCAGTAGAAGTATAAAATGGGACAGCATAAGTAAGACAAAAATCATCAAAAAATAGAAAAGCCTGAGATTTTGATCTGCTTTCAGGGATAGTAGGGAGTTATACTAAGGCCCCTTTTGGTCCTAAGATTGTAATGACTTAGAAGACATATAATCATCTTAGAATGTAGGAGCATAAAACATAGTTAGGAGCATCAGATCCCTGACAAAAAAAGAAAAAGAAAAAGAAAAGCACTTACTCTGGAGCTAGATAACCAGGGGTCCCAACGAGGCGTGTTACTATAAGATCTTCTTCATCTGATCGTTCTACAAGTTTTGCCAATCCAAAATCTCCAACCTACAAGAACATCTTTCAGCTGGTACTCTCAACTGCTGTTAAGAATAGCATATATAATTGAGGACAAATAGAAGTTTGTTAAGAATGATTACATAACCAAAATAGTTCTGACAAAGTGTGTCAATATGGGTGGATTTTGTGGATGTCAATAACCGGTGTGGAATGGTAGTTGAGAATTTATCATTAAATTTGGATGGTTATGCGTACCTTTGCTCTGAGTCCCTGATCAAGTAGAATGTTACTTGTCTTTATATCCCGGTGCACATAGCGTGCCCTTGTGTGGTCATGAATGTATTCAATTCCCCTGGCTGCATCAAGTGCTATATATGCTCTGGCTGTCCATGAAAGAGGCTGATGACCTGATACTTGCTACTGTTAGAACCTTAAACCCAATAAAATACAATTAGTTTGCCACAACTTACAGTGTTGCTTTTGCTTGTATCTGCTCTTTTTTCAGAAATTCCTTACTTTTTTCCATTGATACTCTAATAGCTGCACTGGAAGGTATTTAAAGTACATTGTTGGTTGTACCTTTTTTGTGAATTAGTTGTGGTGGATGTATGGTTATATACCTTATTGACATTGTTTTCATCATATGCTATTAATAAATTGATCTTAGTAGCTTAATGATGAGCATCAACCTCTTTACAAGCCTACAACTTTGTGTTTAGAAAGGCCCAGCTTGATGCTAAGTAGGATGGATTAATGAGAGGCTAGGAAGCACGAATACGGATATGAGATCCAAGCACGAATCCAGATACGAGATACGGGTACAACGATACAGAAAAACCCTAAAAAATAAGATATGTCTATAAAAACGTATATCTTATATTTGTACTATTATATAATGATTTGATAACTATAATTTTTAGTGATCTTTTAACAATAATAGAAAATATTAACAATTTTTCATTTTGAAAAAGCCTCCTATTGTCTTACTATAGTACATCTATAAAGTGAACATGATTAATTAAAGGAATAAGAACCAATATCTAACTAAATTGTTTGATTAGAAGTGTTTGTTGTTAGGATTATAGTGTAATCAACTCATTTATACTCTTTGGACATTTGATTGTGAATAATACTTAGAAAACATCGATGTGTCTTTAAAGTCATATGAATTGTTGTTGATGTATTGCATTGAATGTGAAATCGACTGGTCANTGTGTCTTTAAAGTCATATGAATTGTTGTTGATGTATTGCATTGAATGTGAAATCGATTGGTCCAAAAAAAAAAAAGTAAAATCAAAAAGAAGGGGTAAATGTTAAAACTAAAAAATGCTCATATTTCTATACATATAGATGTATCCACGAAGTTTCTATATGTTTTATTTATTTTTAGATACGTTTGATGTATATTCGATACGTATTTTCGAGTATCCGACGACTATCGTATTNAAACTAAAAAATGCTCATATTTCTATACATATAGATGTATCCACGAAGTTTCTATATATTTTATTTATTTTTAGATACGTTTGATGTATATTCGATACGTATTTTCGAGTATCCGACGACTATCGTATCCGATACGAATATGTCGACCTTAACAAAGTATCTGTGAACTGTGATCATAGTTGAGAGGTATAATTTCAAATTTCTACTTTGTTAAACTTAAGTTGTCTCCTGATTGTTTGTTTTCACTGGCTTTTGTACGTTTCGTGCTTTTCTATGTGTGGGTTATCTTTAAAAGTGAACAGTTTATTGTGAAGGATAAAATTACAGTTGGTAACAATGTTTTATACAAGTAGAGGAAGATATGTAGCAATGTCTGATTTTCAGGTCAAGGTATGCATTTCACAAGTAATTGCACATGGTTGGCATGGCTCTGGGACGGTAAGAAACTATTACTTGGAGCAGAGGATGGAAAATACCTCTGGTTTGTTCAATAGGTTAATTTGTAATGAAGCTTGAGTTATGCTAGTCCTATTCTCTTATTACATAATGGAAATGTTTAGTGTTACATCAGTTCTTTCTAATTAGCATGTGAGGTTTGCCTTAGAGATCGGTTAGAGGGACAATACGTAGCAATCACCCGTCATATGCTGTTCTACAGTTTCTTCTTTGACAAAACCATGAAGTTAGGAAAGCTACTGGTGAAAAGAGGCATTTTACCTTTCAGCAAAGGATCATGAAGACGCACATTAAGTGATCCATTCTGGACGTACTCATAAACCAAATAGAGGTGGTTGTCCCCACTTGCATACCCAAGCAATTCCACCTTAAAAGTCGATCTGATCAGTGAATTTGTCTTAACATCTGTTTTACTTGATTGCAGGTCACTACTTCTACAGGTGTGCTTACCACATTAATGTGATGTATCTTGCATAGAACCTTGAGCTCCACTAAAAACTCTTTTGATTTGCTCGATTTCATCTTCTTAACTGCAACTTCCTGTTTGTCGTATAACCATCTTTGCTATGTTATAAATACAACTTAATTGCATAATCACTGCAAACATAATCTAAAGAAATTAGATTTATCATACCTGTTCTCTTAATATTCCAAAGTATACACTCCCATATCCACCTTCTCCTATTTTCCTTGCTACATCAAAATTACCTGTTGCCTCATCAATCTCCTCCAGTCTATATATAACTGGTTTATCTGACTCGATATCCGTCACATCTGTATTATGCATGTACACCTGAGATGAGATATTACTTCTAGAGTAATCCATTTTTACTTAACATAATTACTTTTATTACATGCCTCATGAAGTAGCTAGCAGTTTTGGAATTCAGGATTCTAGAACAGTTTTTGTTAAACCTATTTGAGGTGGATTTTGTTGTACTGGGAAGATGGCACAGAGCTTAAAGATTTAATAATGCAATATAAACGAACTACCTACAAAACAAACCTTTATGAAGTCCTATGGCCTCAGCTGCCATGTTACCTTTAAAAAGTTACATTTGTCTGTATAGCTTCTAGTAGAGAGACTTGACATTTTGGATATTAGATGTAACAGAATTAAGAACTAGTTGAAAATTTTCTGACCTTCAATGTCCTTTTCGAGAGATTGATTCTGCAAGAAAACTCTCAGGGAACTTGGGTCTGCGATGGTTGTTTGCGGATCTTCTTCACTGTGTCCTAGGGTTTGGTTTCTTCTAAGAAATAGGATCAAAGTGATCACCACCGAAAATAGAGTCACCGCTGACATAATGCAAACAAGAACTATCCAGATGTGCATTCTGTCTGGTATGAACAGCGAAACACTGCAATGTTTAGTCTAGAAGGGTGTTCTCTTTCATAAATTTGGGGTAATCATGTGGGTGAATGACTATATAGAGACAGAATATCACTTACGTTGCTTGGGGGCTTGAAGTCCCCTTTTCTCCATAGGTACAAACAACACCCACCCAATATCTATATAATTTGGATTTCTAGTCAACCTTGCATTCATGTTCTCAATCTCGTTCACTTCTGCAGATAAAAGCCCCGCAATATCTTGAACTGTGTCATCCTCTTGAACCGTGTATGTTACTATTACTTGAGATTCCCTTTCCACACACCCGCATAAAAGATGCATAGTAACCATGCTTCCAGCGACAAATTGCTTGTCTTCCCCTGTGACCTGCCACACTTGTCCACTGTAGAACTCACTTGAGATATTTATGAATGTATTGCCTGCTTGTACTGTATAAGGAGTGTCATAGAAGTACATGCTTGTGCCATTCACTTCTTTGCAAGTGCAAGGAACAGAGACCAGATAATCTTGTTTGATACCATGAGTAATAGGTTCAATCTTAGATATGTTCACCGAGTAGAAAGAGGCTATTTCTTCTAATTGGAGCCCTTTGGAGATGTGATATAGGTAAGAATAACATGTTTGGATGGGATCAGAGCAACTAAGAGGGTACATGAGTGATGATTTTACACCAATGTTAAGTGGAAAAACTGTTGTAAAGATAGTAATCAGTAAAGCAAGGAGGAGGTGGTGGTATTGGGAAGCAATAGATGTGGTCATGAGTGTGTTTCCTNCAACTAAGAGGGTACATGAGTGATGATTTTACACCAATGTTAAGTGGAAAAACTGTTATAAAGATAGTAATCAGTAAAGCAAGGAGGAGGTGGTGGTATTGGGAAGCAATAGATGTGGTCATGAGTGTGTTTCCATGAGATAAAAAAGAATGCAATGAGAAATGAGATGAAGAACAAGTATGATTCCTGAATTTGGTTCACAGGTTGACTAGTTTGTCAAGATAACTAATCTGCATACCTTTTTGAAGTTCATTTGTCCTGCCTTTATGTCATTCATTTCTGCTACTTTCTACATTAAATAATAGTTGAACATATTTTTTTTCCCTGGCTAACAAAACTATGGCCTTTCTCCTTAAGTTAGCATTTTAACAGGTAGAGACATGTTAATACTTCCAATTGAATTGACCGAGAAGTTGGATGCCTAGGAAAGGGAATTGATCGTACGCCAAAATGCATAATCTAATCTAGTAAGTATTTGATATACTTTTCATAATCAAGTGGTTAAGAATTCCTTAAGGTTGCGGTTTGTAGGAACTTGCTGCAGATATATGCTTAGAAGGTTACAGCTTTTTGCCGACACAATAGTAAAACTGAGGTGTTTCTTCCCTTGCACACGCATGAACACATTATTAATGAACCGTTTGACATGTTCAACATGAGCACTTTGTTTTTCCTGCTTGTAAGCATCACTGTGTCTCGACTTCCTTGGAGTTTAGTAGTGCATTTCATCTTTCTTTACTTCTATTATTAAAACCACAAGTCTTCTATTATTAAAACCACAAGTTGGCTCTTTTCTTCCTTTCACTTCTAGTAAGACTAAGAGTCATAATCATCTATCATATTCTGTAATTGACATCTTTTTGCTCTTTACCTTTGGTTTATACATTTCATTTGGACTCATGGTGTTTTTGAATCGTTCAGTTTTTTTTGTGGAAATTCTGTAAAAACTAGCCTGTTGGAAGAATTTGCTTTTAAGGTTTGGAGATTTAAGGACGGTTGTTTTTTCCTAGGCCCAAGCTTGCTGTTTCAAGGACAAAGGGGCACGTTCACATTCGAATCATACCACGAAACTTGCAGAGTAAAACTCATCAGACCGAATATGAACACCGTGGAAGTATCAATTTCAGAAATGATGAACGATTTGCGTGCTTGAGGATCACTTCGATTGTGTTGAGGAGCAACCCAAGAGGTAAGTCTAGCATTTTGTTGATTTTTTTTTGCAGGGATTGAGACATCCTTATTAAAATTAGATGAAATTTGGTTCTTTCTACTTGTCCTGATGGTTCAAGCTGCCATCAGTCCCATTAGGTGTCTTATATTGATTCTATATTTGTGTGGAACAAATGGAGGCTCCAGGCCCCAACTACCTTTNTCCCATTAGGTGTCTTATATTGATTCTATATTTGTGTGGAACAAATGGAGGCTCCAGGCCCCAACTACCTTTCTCTTGCAAAGACAATGTGGTGAAGTAAGGACAGGCTTTAGCATGCTGCTAATAATCATCATTCATTATGAGGAATTTAGCTTATATATGACATGATGCCATTGGGTCAAGTCCCATTTTGTGTACTTCGTTGTGTCAAATTTTGACATATGCCAGTCAGTGCCAAATTGGGCAGAGTCGGAGCAAGTCCAATGGTTGTATAAAATATGATACGATTTGTTAATATGATATGAATACGAATACGATACAAAATTAAAGAGTTTGAGTTTTTTTTAAGTCATCCGTTTTATAAATGAGTAGGCCCGACACAACACGATTAATAAATGAATAGAGTATTGGTGAAACCAACAAAAAAAAATACACGCACGACACGATTTGTTTATATATTGGTTATACACGATTCATACACAATATAAACCCGATATGATATGACTAGTTAGACACGAATTAAGTTATGGGTGAATTATTTTTGATACGAATTCACTAAAATTCGACAGGAAGTCGTTTAACGTGACACGATTGATTGATCTAATTGACGATAATTCAAGAAGTAGAAATATATTAAAATAAATTCTAAATGAAATAGTAATATATATATAAAATAACTTGTGGTTTACAAACATATATGTTCTTTCATGAATTATATGTATGAATATGATTCCTACAACAATTTCAAATAATTATGATATGAATTTTCTAGGCCAAAAAAATTGTATGTTAATACACTCACACCAATGGTGAAGTAATATATTTTGTTTTTTTGACAATAACTATATAATTATTAGTTCTAGCAGTTAGGAATTAAACTTTCAACCTTTGCTTTTGGTTTTATTTAGTTGTAGATGATTTGGATTGAAAGCCTATAACAGTTTAGAGTTCACTCAATTGAACTCATACAGAGAGCAGTCTTACCCAACAACGGCGTTACATGATGCCGACATTGGTTGAAATTCTTTCATGAATTTCAAGGTCAAAATAACTATATGTTAATACACTCATACCAATGGTCAAGTAATATATATTTTTTGGACAATAACTGTATAATTATTAATCTGATATTTGGTAATTAAAAAACTTTTTAAATCATTATTTTAATTCAAAGTAACATAATAAAGACATGAATTACTTTGTACAACACTCTCATTAGAAAACAAATGAAGCACCGGAAATGAAGTCAATTTGAAATCCTCTCCCAATATATCACAAATTATAGTTTATTATGGGTTATTGAAAATCTTAAAGAGTAGAGACAGAAAGGAAAATCATTTTCTTGTGTGTCAAACAGGGGTTTTCTTTCAACCTTTGGACTTCTAACTGTTCTTTAATATTTCCCCAAGGACCCGCCATAGGAATCTTCATTGATTGGAATCTGGGAAAGACAGAGAACGGAAGAAAAAGGAAATGGAAGGAAATTGATTTCCTCTGTTTGGTTCTCACTTGCAGAGACAAAAATGCCAAAATTTCTTCTCT